TTGGTTTTTCCATAGATAGGCGTCGGAACCAGGGGGCTGGGGTGGGGGGGGCTACCCCCCCCCCCCCACTTTTTTTGTTGCAAAATTAGACATATATAGGCATTGAAAATTGGGATTTACCTTTTTTTGTTGTTTAGTCCCTCCCTTCGATTAGCTCCCTCCCCACTTTCGATTTGCTTCCGACGCCCATGTCCATAGCAAAACATGGACACTGCTACAAATGTATATTCATATGGGAGGCGGGGTATCATTTAGTGAGCTCATTGCTCACAGTACCTATAGTTTTACTTTTTGATCTGACACTCATTTTTGGTCACCAAAAGCAAAACATGGACTTTGCCACTATACACATAAGAAGGGGGGTATCATTTAGTGAAGCTAGACTCAAAGTACCTCTATACTAAAGTTTCAAGTTATTTTTGAGTACAATTGTGCTTCCTTACCTCCAATATTGATAAACTGAATACCATGGATATGTCAGTGGTTTGCATGTGTTCCAACTTTTTTTCTTCAACTGTCTTGAGTTTCTTCAAATCTCAAACATCTACAAGTTTTGTTTCTCAGCATCATCCAGACTGAGATCACAAGGTTAGACTATAGTTTAAGACACATCAATGAAGATGGAATAAGATTAGTAATTTTGTTCTGCACCAGTTGAAGGTAAAAATACTGTATCTCTCTTTGCAATGCTTAATGAATTATAAAATAAAGCCATATGACTGACTCTTAAAGTTCAAGTGAATGCTACAGTACTGTAACATTAAAATTATAACACATACAAACACACAGATAATGCCAATGCACAACCTTACAACCACCAGTTGTACAAATACTCTATTCAGGGTTATTTTTGGACCATGTTATTTTCACCCCTTCACGCTTGCAATCAATTCTAGCCCATTTGAAATTAGCCCAGTCAAAGTTCTGTTTTACAAAGTTAATCGTTTTTGAATTCGCCCCTTCTAAGATTCACCAAATTGTATCTAGGACAAAAGGGGCAAAATAAAACAGACACAAAAATTTCCCTGTACATGTATATAGTATTTAGTAAAAGAAAAAAAAAAGTCACATCTTATAAAGGAAACAAAGGTATGAAATTTTTTAAAGCTTGGTTTCAAAAACAATTCAAGATACGGCTTTCTCTTTATTTTTATTTGTGTTAAATTGCTGCTATAAACCCAAACAGACAGCACAAAAATTTGTGAGTTCTATCGTCACTTATTACAATGTATATTCTTTATACTAATCACAGTCTCTCCTCTAGAAAAAAGATAAGGAAAATAGCTTATAGACGATATCTGGCACCCTCAAGCTTTTTAAGTTCTTCTTCCTTTTCTTTGACCATGTCCCAGGTTAATGGATGATGCCATTCTGCAGCTAAAAATAAATATACTACATTGTAGATATACCAAAATTTTTAAATTCTCTGATGGGTTGGTTGAGAAATTTTATGTTAAATAAAATTGAAACAAAGCTCTCTTCAAACACTTACTTTTTACTGGTAACTCAGAGACCTTCATTTCTGAAAAGAAAAAAAAAATGTTAAAAGTTTCATACACCTCACTTTCCAAATAACACTCTGTATATTGTTTTACATGTACATTGCTACTGCATAGAGCGCTGCATTTATTTACATTCATAAAAATTTACACACATATATATATTTGAAATGTGTAGATTTAATCCTTTGCTCTGATGTTTACTTTCTTTTTTCATCTGCTACTATGAGTGCTCCCATGAACCAACTTTTGATTATCTGATTTTTCTGTTTTTCTCTCTAACAACTGTTTTATTTTCTGAGCCTGATTTTCTCATTTTATCAAGAATTCCCCTATTTATAATAAAGAAGTCCTTGTACCCTGCACACTGTAGAGTTTTATTTCACGGTACTTTAATGCAGTAAGATCAATTCTTTGATATAAATTTGAATAAACTGAAATCTATGCCATAATATTAATTCAAGAACTCTTTAAATGACATTAGTAAGAGATGAAGTAATTCAATACTTCATTTACATTTTTTTCCCCATTTAAACAATTAAAAGCGATTTCTTTTTTAGTCCATAAAACATTTTTCCTAAGCAGAACAAAATAGATATATTAAATATTTACATCTTTATATGACCTAATTTTTTCAAAGTCTAGAGACTACAATCTTTCATGGTTTATAGTGGGTTCATAACTTCAGATTCTCTCCCCTTAATACTTACTTTCTCTTAGTGATACTAAAGGTGCCCAACTGAAGAGAAGGAATACCCACACAAACCAATATGAAGCAAAGCGGAAAAAGAATGTGTTGTTGACACCAAAGACAAGATCTTTGACTGGGGTTCTTCGTAACATGGATGACAGGGTTGGCATGCCCTTCACTGGAGTAAGCCTTTTAGGTCTCCATAAATAATAATCTGGTGTTTGTAATGTTTTCCTGGAAAAAAGGGATCAACATTGAAATTTTTATCTACAAATGTTACACAGGAGTGAGAAAAGACATATCTTGTGACTGGTAGTTCTACACTTTATCTAATTTAAAATATCAACTGCATGCACTATATAGGACAAAAAAAATCTTTAACATATTTTTAGAAATTGTGATTAACCCATCTAAAAATCTTTTTTTTTAATGCTTATGTTAAATAAACACTTCGATCTAACATCATAGGTTAAGTTTGGTAAAATGCAGCATTTGAAGCTGTTTCATATCAAACAAGAAAATGCAGCCTTAAAACTATGTAAACAGAATTCAGCCAATGACTATCTTATTTCTACAACACCACACTTACTTAAGGACCATAAATTGTCTGCCCTTGGCGTCAGTGAAAATCTTGGGTTTTCCAGCAGCAGCCAGGACACCGCTTGCCTTTGTTGCTACCTGCTTTGTAGCCATGGCTGTTACTTTATTAGGAACCCTAAATAATCAAGCATAATGCATTTAATACCTAATATTAATATCCCTTTTTAATTGTTATGCTGTATATGCTAACTGTATTATCAATATAATCGCCCAAATGAATTTTTATATCCATTTGAAACTGATCGAAATATGCTTAAAACAACTGTTTCTAACATTTGGTGAGCAAGTTTTCATAAATTAGAGTTCAATGGTTGTATTTATGCTAAAAACTTAAACAGTATGAGTAAAGCCAAAATAAAATCATAGACAGGTGCTGTATATATTTGTTTAGTTTTCAAAATAACATTGAGAGTTGGTTTTATTTAAGCTAAAACCTAAGCAGGGTTTAAGATAAAATATGATAGTAGGAAATTCTGCCTATAACAAAATATATTCTTCTCCCTTTTCGGCATGGCTTACTCTTACAGGTTGGAAATATATTGTGCTAATATCAATAAATTAAAAACAACATTATTTGCATCAAATACACACATCTAAACCAAATTTAAACTATTCATAAGAAGTTTTGGTGAAAATATTCTGCTTGACCTTACCTTTCTCCAGAAGGGGGTGTTGGAGTCTATGTAACTCGTTGCAAATACATTGAAAAAAATTTAATTAATTAATAAAAATTATCCAACCAATTTATATTTTCAATGAAAGCATTGTAAGGGACAGAAAAATGTGATAAATATGCCAAAGAACATTTTTGACTTTTGATTCGAATGAAAAAAAGATGAGGTGTAAATGATTTTTATTTGTATAACTTGATGAAGTTGTGAAGTGAAAGTACAATTTTGATGAAGTAAAAAACATGTTATCTCCGTATTCCTCGTCGCGGGTTATTTGGGACGGAGAAAAAGATAATGGAGTAATTTAACATATCCACCTCCGAGGAATGGCCGAAATTTTTCATGGCCTTGAGTTGCTGCTGCTGAAGAAGTTCGACAACAACCCAGAACAATGGCGAGAGCTGAAGCAAAAATTGGCAAACAAGGACAACGACGACCAGGAGTGTTATACCTACATAGATCTACTCATGATGGGGGTAAGTATAAATGTTTTTAATTGTAATTAAGAAAATTTATTCACAACTTCTGTTTTTACCTCACCTTTATATTCTATTTGTTCATTATCTCAAAATCTGTCCTTCTAACATATCAAAATCTTAATCTTTAATTATTAAATGATTAATAAAGATTTTGTGTTTTTAAACTTTTTATATTCAAGTTAAAACAACGAGTGAGAAACATAAATATTCTGATAAAGAACTTTTATGAACATATTTCCTGTCTAGATGTAATGTTTTCTCTGGCAGCAACTCTTGGCCTAAATGACTCATAACAAACACACCTCATTGTCAAAACATCAAATATTGGGGTAACAGTAGGGCTGGGACGATACAACTTTTTCTATATCGATACATATCACGATATTTGAGCCACGATACGATATGTATCACGATATGTTGAACTGCTTACAAAATCTTTTTTTGCATTGAAATAAACAAATTATTTCTTTGCAAATGAGAATAATTTATTTAAAATAGTTGTTTATATGTCGTAAAACAAAATATTTTACTCAAGTGGTAAAAATTATTATTTATTTCATGTATATATTTATATTTAACTTATTTATTTCATATATTAAACCCAAAATATTAAATAAACAAAGAAAAACAGAAGTAAGATTTTTTTGGCTAGATTTCGATATTTTTTCAAATGTATCGATATGTGTATCGTCCTCACATATATCACGAGTATCGATATATATTGTCCCAGCCCTAGGTAACAGTATTCATGATAACAATTTTTTTTTTCAACATTCCCTTTGAATTCAGAGTATTAAAGATCTAGAGTAGAAACCAAAGTTTAATTGTAAATTATAAAAAAATAATTTTTAGTTAAACGAAAAGAAAATAACATAAATTGCTTGAAATGTTTTAAATTGTGATGTATAACGATATCAAGATGACATTGCACCACTAGTTATTATGTTTATGAATTATATATGTAATTTTCTACATATTTAAACCATACAGTGTGTCACAGATATATTTCATAACTTACTGAATAAATGTTTTTTTATAAAAAGAATTCATTACCAAAGTCTAGGGGGAAATGAAAAAAAGTGCATACAATAAATTTTCTAATATTTTTTTAAGGTCACATCTTTTTGTGCTACATGGTGTCTTATGCATGTACATACATTTCTCTCTCCAGAACATTCCTCAGAGTATGTGGTTTTTGTCAGTGGCCCTCCACAACAGACCAAAGTATCTCCTACAACTCATACTACAGGATTTAGATAGAGAGAAGTTAGGAAACATCAGAAGGCCAGGAGGTAAGTCAAGAGATATGTGGAGTTGTGCTATTATACATGTATCACATTGCATGTGTCAAATATATGACCATATATAACTTGCTTAGTATATAGGGATTTTATTTAGTAAAAACACTGATCTAACATTACAGGGAAGTAAGGGAAATAGTGAGGGATTGTTGACTGTTAAAATATTAAATTAAACAGCTATAACTTTTCAATATAAAGGAAATTTATAAATGTAGCAAATTGATTTCTGTCCTGAACAAAAGGTAAAAAAATACAAAACTGTCATCTTTTAAATAAAATTTCAAAATGAAAAAAAAAGCAAAAAAACAACACTAACATTACTTTTCATTTTTATTTATTTTAACAGAAAACTTAAGGTCTCCTAAATTTATGAAAACACTGTCTAAGTAGTCATAACTAAACTGTAAGGCCTAAAATAAATTATTTTGGTTTGCAGTTGCCTACCGACTTACTGAAAATGCACCCGACCCAAACTTGTTTTTTTAATCATTTTGTAAAAAAAAAAAATTTCTTCAATTTTTCAGGTTATTGAAACTGTTTAATTTTCAGTTTTTGACTTTTGTTTTTATCAATCAGTGGTTTAAAAAAAGAGTGGAACCTATATTCATGTATGATAAGCCTATGAAAATCTGTATTATTTGTTATCTAACAAAAATCCCCAAAAATAATTTTAAAAAAAGCCAACCTACCTACCCAGTCTAAAAATTATAGGTCAGCAACTGCAAAAAAGCTTGAGCTTTCGTAGGAAAATACCGTAAACATATTACATTTAGCAGTGTATTCTATTTAGCGATTTTGGCGGAAAGCAGAGTCCGCTAATTCAAGAACATCACTAAATGTCTTGTATATTAACTTTTGTAACTAGCAAATTCAGACAGCGCTAAATCAAATCTACGCTAACTTGTTGAAAATTGAATCTCCACCAAATATCGTACACGCCAAATGTAATGCATTTACAATATGCACCAGGTATGTTGCGAATTTGCCATATACAATGTATGCTCCATGAAGCATCTTTTGTCTAAATAAAATGGCTTTATATTTTTCATGGATCATCTGAAAACACCAAATTTTTGCATATTTATTGGAAAATATGCATAGTTTTTACCTTCAGAGTTTAACTTGTTTCGTAGAAAAAGCCACAGGGACTTGAGACAATCTTAGCAAAATCGGGTATATACTATAATAGGGGAGCCCGTTTTATACTGTCTAAGTATATACCCGATTTTGTAATATTGTCTAACCTTTAAGGAAAAAGCATGCTCACAGTAGAACTTGTCTGTGAACTTTTCTTACAACCCTTGAATACCCTAATAAGACCGCTGAACATTAACTGGCAAAATTGGAAATATACAGCTTACATCATTTCTGTCTGTTACAATCAAAACATACAGTGATAGACAATTAAATGGGTGGGGTACAATTCGACGCGACTAGGGGAACAATATTAAATGCTGATTGAAATTTATTTTCATCCACCTGAGCTGTTTTCAATGGAAAGAGTGAATGTATGATCCAAAAATCAACTATATTTCAACTCCAAAATACATATTGTTTGAAGTTCACAATAATACAAGATTTAGCTTATAATTTTAAGAACGTGAAATATTATACATGACAAAGATTTTTTTTCAGCAGATATTTGATTCTAGAAGGGGGGGGGGGGTTAAAAATTGTCGAGTCAGGTCATGGCTTAATATATTTTATTTCTAGGATTATAAGCATCCTTGGGGAATGGGGAGTTTAAATTTTTAAAATAAAGGGCCAGGTCTCCTTCCAAGGGAAGATAATCAAGAAAATACAAAACTATGATGGGATCATTAAAAAATCTTCTTCTCAAGAACTGCTGGGCCAGAAAAACTGAAACTTATGTGGAAGCATCCTGAGGTAGTGTAGATTCTAATTTGTAAAAATCATGACCCCCGGGGGTAGGACGGGGCCACAATAGGAAATCCAAGTGTTACATAGAAATATATAGGAAAAATCTTTAAAAATCTTCTTCTCTAGAACCACTGGGCCAGAAAAGCTGAAACTTATGAAGAAGCATTCAGGGGTAGTGCAGATTCTAAATTGTTAAAATCATGACCCCCGGGGGTAGGGCGGGGCCACAATAGGAAATTCAAGTTTTACATTGAAATATATAGGAAAAAATCTTTAAAAATCTTCTTCTCAAGAACCATTGGACCAGAAAAGCTGAAATTGATATGGAAGTATCTTGGGGTAGTGAAAAATCTAAATTGTAAAAATCATGACCCCCGGGGTTGGGCGGGGCCACAATAGGAAATCCAAGTTTTACGTTGAAATATATAGAACAAATCTTTAAAAATCTTCTTCTCAAGACCTACTGGGCCTCAAAAGCTGAAACTTATACGGAAGCATCCTTGGGTAGTGTAGATTCTTAATTGTAAAAATCAGACCCACGGGGGTAGGGCGGGGCCACAATAGGGAATCCAATTTTTATATAGAAATATATAGGAAAAATCTTCTTTTCAAGAACCATTGGGCCAGGAAAGCTGAAACTTAGGTGGAAGCATCCTGGGGTAGTGTAGATTCTAAATTATTAAAATAAAGATGGGGGTTCGGAGGGTGTAGGGGGCCACAATAGATGTAAGAAGAGGGGAAATCTGGTAAAGAACTGCATCACAAAAGTTACTCAGGTGAGCGATGTGGCCCATGGGCCTCTTGTTTTTAATTTAAGATGCTTTGTTTAATTTTGTGTAGTCATATAATCCATATATACTTTTTGCATTTCAGAAACTTTGCTCAAGACCTACTTGAATACGTACAACTTCACAGAGTTTCATTTAGATAGTATTTTTAAGTATGGTGAAGACAACACTTTGCCAAAAGAGGTAAGATTTTACTTGTGGGGATTACCCCAGTACTTGTTTCTGTGTTCAGTAACTAGCAAAGTGTGTAATTATATGTAATCCTGTACATATTTTCCCTTTTACAAAAGGTAAATACAGTGAAAATAAACAAATCTATAATCTTTATACTGTTTTTCTGATGTGGTTTGCAGTAAAATCTGATTACTGTTTAGATCCCCTCATTCAAATTGATCTGAAACATTCTGAATTATCAATACGTGTACTACCTAATTACTGGTTGAGAGAATTACATGTATGTATACTACATGTGTTATTAGCTCACCTGAGCTGAAGGCTTAAGTGAGCTTTTCTGATCAAAATTTGTCCTTTGTCTGTCGTCGTCGTTGTTGTTTTCGTTGTCGTCGTCATCGTAAATTTTTCACATTTTCACCTTCTTCTTAAGAACCAATCGACCAATTTCAACCAAACTTGCTACAAAGAATCCTTGGGTAAAGGGGCTTCAAGTTTGTTCAAATGAAGGGCCACACCCTCTTACAAGGGGAGATAATTATGAATTAGTGAAAAATTAATGGCATTTTTATGGCGTCGGGCTTGCCCGATCATCATCTAGCGATCAGTCAGGTTTACGCGACCGCACGTGTCAGTGGATGCATCCGCAATAGAAAATAGCAACAGCTGTAAACCAATTTCTTTTAAAACGTTCAAAATGAATAATAGCTTGAATATAAAATTAAATCAATTGTATCTTCAATTAATACTACTATACAACGATATTATGTTTAATTTTTACGCAAGAAAAACGTTATGGTTGTTGCAGATGAATTTCTACAGAGAGGGTGCGTCGAATGACATGAATTACATTTTGGGACCGATTAATGTAATACAAACAATCTTAAATACGGTAAAATAATTATAAAATAAACACGAATACAACAAGACTAAAAAGATTGAATTTCTTAATCTTAGCTTTACTTTTACGATCTTCAATCCAATTTTATCCGAACAACTGACGATATTGACCAGTAATACCATATTACTGTATTTATCCATTTCCTCCATTTGTTTACCGCGCCCTATCGTAAGTCGATCGTACTTGTAACATTAGAGTCATGGTTGTAGTTAAGATGCAATCACTATACAACAGAACAACGCTCTGACAATGGCAATTAATTAAAATAATTTATGAAACCCTTCATATGTCTTCGATTGACTGAAAAGAAATTAGATTGATATAGAGGATGGACATTTCTGACGATGTCTGGTCAATTCGAACCCTGACTCATTCGGACCAGGACACAAGGCTACCAGGCCCTATACTGCATTTGTGTTAAGACTATTTTTTTTAGCTCTACTGGTCAGAGACCAGAAGAGCTTATGCGATAGTAATGCGTCCGGCGTCCGTCCGTCCGTCTGTCTGTCTGTCCGTCTGTTTGTAAACAATTTTTCAAAATGCTACTCCTCCTACAATTTTAGTCTGATTTCAATATAACTTGGCACACAAGTAGACTACACTAAGATACATAAAATAGTGCATCGGTTTTTGATTTCGATGAACGGTGTTGCAATGGTTACTAAAAATAGAATTTTCTGAGAAATTCCTTTAAAACGCTACTCCTTCTACAGTTTTGGTCTGATTTCAATATTAATTGGCACACAAGTAGACTACACTAAGATACATAAAATAGTGCATCGGTTTTTGATTTCGATGAACGATGTTGTCATGGTTACTAAAAATAAAATTTTCTGTGAAATTCCTTTAAAACGCTACTCCTTCTCTAGTTTTAGTCTCATTTCAATATCACATGGCACACAAGTAGCCTACACTAAGATACATAAAATAGTGCATTGGTTTTTAATTTCGATGAACGATGTTGCCATGGTTCTCAAAATAGAATTTTCTAGAAATTCCTTTAAAACGCTACTCCTCCTACAGTTTTAGTCTCATTTCAATATCACTTGGCACACAAGTAGACTTTACCAAGATGCATAAAATAGCGCATTGGTTTTTGATTTCGATGAACGATGTTGCCATGGTTACTAAAAATAGAATTTTCTGAGAAATTCCTTTAAAACACTACTTATTTCTACAGTTTTGGTCTGATTTCAATATAACTTGGCACACAAGTAGACTACACTAAGATACATAAAATAGTGCATCGGTTTTTGATTTCGATGAACGATGTTGCCATGGTTACTAAAAATAGAATTTTCTGTGAAATTCCTTTAAAACGCTACTCCTTCTACAGTTGTAGTCTCATTTCAATATCACATGGCACACAAGTATACACAAAGATACATAATTCTGTGCATTTAACCTGCAGACAATAGAGCTACAGTCTCGACAGAGACTTCTTTTAATAACATAAAAACATTATGTTATTAAGACACCAATGTACCTATCCAGATTGTTTGAAATTGTTTTTCTTGTTCCGCCACTGAAGCCTTTCATCATTTGTTAAAAAATCTTCTCAAGAACCATTGGGCCAATTGAAAGCTGATATTTCAGTTTGCTAAGCATGAGTGAATGCTTCCAAAAGATTTTAATAGGAATATATAGGAAGAATCTTATATTTTGTTTTACTTAATAGTAATCACTGGTTGAATCATTATGATAGTTATTCAAATTTATTCAAAAAATGGCATGTAGGAAATGAGAAAAGTTTTACATGATAAATATCGTAAATCTTAATTAATTTTTTTTCAGTACCGCAAGTGCCCCAAATTAGTGAAACTTTTTATGGAAAGATCCTCAAATACAACTGCCTGTTTGATAAAATCCCCCAGGACATTGGCACAATGGGAGATCCATATTACTGAGATATATTTTAAAATATCTTAAAGAACAACAAATTACAAGTGCATATATATGGATCCCCTTACTAGTCTGACTTTTTGTTTAAATCATAATCTCCAAGGGTAAAGGGTCTCATGGTGGACAAAGTAACCTAGCTAAATGCATTGCCAAATTTCTTGTTGAAAAGCTGCCAGCCATACGGACTGTCCATCGTCATGGCAACCACAATTATTTTAAGTCAACGTTCATGTAGTACACACGGATGTGGGGTACCGCATCATCCCCTCTGAAGGTGCTCACCGTGACTCGTATATACAAAGAAAATGTTTAAAAAAACTATAAAAAATTTTTTCTCTAGAAGTTATATGTAGAATTGATTTGGAGGCATTCTCGAGGATCCCAGCATTTCTGTGATATTACAAATTTTCCTGATCTGATTTGCGTGTTTTCCTAGACGATGTGCTCAAAGTGTGCCTTTTGTAATGTAACCTGATTATTGGCTCTATCAAGACCAGAAGAGCTAAGTGAAATGTACAGGCACTCCACTGTTAGTTTAACTGTCCATCTGACTGACTGAAATTTTTAGCTCTACTGGTCAGAGACCAGAAGAGCTTATGCGATAGTAATGCGTCCGGCGTCCGTCCGTCCGTCTGTCCGTCTGTCTGTCCGTCTGCCTGTAAACAATTTTTCAAAATGCTACTCCTCCTACAGTTTTGATCTGATTTCAATATAACTTGGCGCACAAGTAGACTACACTAAGATACATAATTCTTTATATCGGTTTTTGATTTCGATAAACGGTGTTGCCGTGGTTACTAAAAATAGAAATTTCTGTGAAATTCTTTCAAAATGCTACTCCTCCTACAGTTTTGGTCTGATTTCAATATAACTTGGCACACTAGTAGACTACACTAAGATACATAAATCTATATATCGGTTTTTGATTTCGATAAACGGTGTTGCCGTGGTAACTAAAAATATAAATTTCTGTGAAATTTCTTTCAAAATGCTACTCCTCCTACAGTTTTGGTCTGATTTCAATATAACTTGGCACACAAGTAGACTACACTAAGATACATAATTGCTATCCGTTTTCGTCCGTCGTGCATTAACATTTGAACATTTTCAGCTTCCTCTCTGAAACCACTGAACCAATTTCAACCAAATTTAGTATACAGCATCTATCGGTGAAAGGGAACAGAAATTGTGATTTTTCTGGTCCCACCATGTGGCCTGAGGGGTGGGACCAAAACCACTAGAATTATTGCAATCTTTAAAAATCTTCTTTTTTTCCCTGGACATCAAGCAGGCAAACTGTTGGCATGAATGTAATGAGCATTGAGTCCTCTAGTAAAACTTGTGAAATTCATGGCCCCAGGGTAGGGGTTTTTGATTTCAATAAACGGTGTTGCCATGGTAGATCAAATAGAAAATGCATTATTTCTTTGAAAATCTTCTTCTCTGCTCCTGGGCTGATTAAATAAACAAACCAAGTACATAGTTATATCGGTGAATAAGGTGTTACCGTGGTTACAAAATTATGTGAAATTTTATGGCCCCAGGGTCAGTTTTGGTTCTGATTTCAATTAGGTTGGGGCACAAGTAGACTTACATAAGTGAAAATGCTGTTAATCTGTTTGATTTTCATCTCTGCTCCTGGGTATTAAAAAGGTAAATGGTCTATGATGGTTTAGAGTGCCTCCTTACAAAGTTGTGAATTTCAATGGCACCAAGTAGACTACACTAGAACATAAAGAGACTTTATCAAGGATCATTATTGATTCATATAGTGAAAATGCATTAATTCTTTGAAAATTTTCTTCTCTGCTATAGGTACAAAATAAGTACATGGTTATGATGGGTTTTTTCAGAATGCCTTTTCCTACAAAGTTTTGAATTTCAATATAACCAGGCTATATATAAGGTATAATCTGATTTAACCTGCAGACAATGCTCATCCATTGATTATATAGTGAAAATACATTGATGATATTAAGACACCAATGTCTTCTCCTTTGCTCCTAGCTAAAATTCCTCAGAATCTGTAATCATTGTTAAAACAAACTTCCAATTCAAGTACATAGTTATGATGGGCAATAGTGCCTGCTTCCAAAATTTAATTATAGATCATATATTTTGTTTTACTTAATTGTAATTGGATGTTTTATGATAATTATAAATACAAAAAGTATATGTAAAATGGGGGATAAATGAAGTAAACTCTATT